TAATAGTATTCTCTCTCTGTATGTTGTTGTTTGTTCCTCATAATAGTATTCTCTCTCTGTATGTTATTGACTCTTTGTATGCTTCATTGTACTAGAAGTAATGAATAGCATCCTCCTAAACTATACCTATTATAGTTTACTAAAGTTTTACTTGAACTGTTATTCAAAAGACTCGTTTATCTACTAAGTTATGCTTGTACTTTAAAAACGGAGTTTTGTATAACTATAAAGTAACATAACTTTAAAAGAGTTTTTGAAATGTTTTGACAACTTATAAATGACATAAGTAACATTTTGAAAGATGTTTATAACAAATAGTTACACAATTATCATTGTGTTCAACTTGTATTCCCCCCCCCCCTTAAAACATTTAAAACAGTTAAAAGATTCATTACGGGGTATGAACTCACCTGATGTGGGTGATTCAAACAGGTATGCGTGTAAGGATGAGAAGTTCCACGGATGAAGTCCCGAGACACAATAAGTCCTAAATGACATATATTGACATGAATATAGTGTTTATAAGCAACTATATGAAAGGAAACACCTTCCGGGACTAGGAAACACTTTGACCAAGTGTTGGAATCACATGTGATTCATCAAAGGGAAGTGGAATGGCACTAACTTGAGTTTACTACCATGGGTTTACGGCCAAAGGGAGTTTACGGCCCAAAGGAGTTTACAACCATAAACTCATGATCATTTATGTATTTGATAGAAGTTTAAGGTCCTATAATCATCAAGGAAGGGTTCTAGTTCACAAGCTTTGCATCTAGGAGGGTTTATGGCCAAAATGGCACCCTTAAAGGGGTTTACGGCCATGGGAGATGGCTTGGCCGTAAACTCCTTTTGTCCTTGTGTTCTTGAGGTTTTCAAGTCTCTAAGCATGAGTCCTAACTAGATATGAAGTATAGGGAAGAGTACTTACGATCTAGAAGCTTGAAATGGTCGGTTTTGGCCAAGAACACTAGTGTGTGTTCTTGGTGTTCTTTGTGTTTCTTGAAGATCTAAGAAAAGAATGATTTCCATGGATGAAATCATGGAAGGATACTAGATTAAGAGATGTATCAATAAATCAAGGAAGAATACTTACATCTTTTGAAGATCTAGGAAGAAAATCTTGATGATAGTTGAGAGAGAACTCGAGTTCTTGGGGTTGGAATGTAAGAAATGACTAGAAATGATAAAGGGCCATATATATACACTTGATTTTACGGCCACATGAGTTTACGGCCGTAAACTCATTGGCATTGCGGCCGTGAACTCTCAATAAGAAGGTTAAGGCTCGATTTCTTGGACAGTGTCTCTAGCAGGTACATTCTAACACTCATTCCTTAACTGTACTAGGCTTAAAACTCCTTAGAATGACCTTTTACCGAGCTAGAACTCATTACCAATGAGTCTGACACTCAGTTGAGTTGATTGACTGGGCTTTAAAAGCAAAAAAATTTCAGGTTGTCACATAACCATACTGCTTACTTATCTTCTGCAATTGTTAAACACTGAGAGGGGTAAGCGGTGACGCTTAGTGAGTTCAATAATGGATACAATATAACGTTATGCCTTATATATACTTCAATATAGCAGAAGCAAAGAGAAACAAGGAACAACAAAGACATATGTGAATCATGTGACAAACTTTCCATATCAATCAATGATTTGATACAAAGATATATGATCAATAAAGCTTCGGCCCAAATGGCACAGAAGACATACACTTTCTGATTTAAACATTTCGATAGATTTCAGGCTTATATCCCTGTCTAACCATCTGCCAATGCCATAGAATAGAAGTCATTCTCTTACGGAGACATGCTCTACATGGCCAGAGGCTACACCGTGAATCTAAGTCCTTTCACTGATCACATGGTCAAAGGTATAGCTTTGCTATCATAAATAGCGGAAATAAAAATAACATGGGAAAATAACCCGAAACGATAACACTGAAAAGCACATAGCACATATAACACATAACATACAATTGTTCCTATATATTAAACTCACCGTGAAATAACCGGGGGTTAAAATAGAAAATTGGGCAGCATTTCGGCTCTAAATATAAATTCCTTCGTTGAAAACCGGAAGATTTATTGAAAACCGGGCTCTGCGAAGGTAGAGCTTCAAACCGAAAAGATAAATTTCTCGGGCTTCTTGGGCACTTCAGGGTGTGTTTCGGGTGTTGGAAATGATTTCGGGGCTTCGGAGGAAGTCAAAATAGCTAAAATATTGATTTAGGGGTCAAAATTGGCAATTTTCCAAAATTACTCGGGAAGGCTCGCAACCTTCTATTTATAGGAGGGGAGATGCGAGGTTCGGCCGAAGGAAGGGAGAGTCACCGAACACGCGCCAGCGAGGGAGCGAGCCACAAAGCGACGTCGGATGCGAGACACGGAAGCGAGCTCGGACGCGAGGCGCGTCGGACGCGCATTGGACCGCTGTTTGGACGAATCGGAAGGCGACACGTCATCGGCTGGGTCTTTGGCTCGGACACGTGGCGCGCATGACTCACCGAAATCGGCCTTATCCTTGCGAGATTCCTCGGATATTGAGCCCAAATCTTCTAAAATCCATAACCTTCGTATACGGGCTCCGTTTTAGACATTCTTTATATGCACGCGTAGGGAAAATTATGCTCTACAACTTTTGTTTAGACTTCGTCGGCTAATTTTGAGTTTATTTTTAATATTATTATTTTTAACAGACCGGGACAGGAAAATCCGTTAAAAATTCATAACTTCTTCATCCGATGTCCGTTTTCGTCTGTCTTTTTACCGTTGTACTACTATTGACGAGACATTCGATTCTCGTTTAGGTTGTGTCGGCTAAAAACCACTCAATCTAAAATTCGAGGTTTTAGCTGTCTACTGCTAAGCTGAAACTTAGAAAAATCATAACTTCCTCATACGAAGTCAGATTTGGGCGTTCTTTTTATGAAAATTCTCGGTTTAACAAGTACTACGACTTTCATTTAGATCATCAAGGCTAAAAAGTAGTTTATCAAAAACTCACTTTTTACGTCATTCGGTGCCGTGCCGGTTTTGTCCCGGATCTTCGATTGGTCATAACGTCTTCGTTATAACTCGAATTTCTATGAGGTTTTCGCCTAAATGCTTCTACTGAAATTATCTACAACTTTGAATAATAAAATTTTACTTATTTCAAATTTTATATTTTCGTTAAATTTCGATATTTTAACTTTTAATTGGAATCTCATAAGACTTCCAATATTTTCCAAGTGATTCTAAACATAGTTTTACTTCATTTCTAGTAAAAACTATCTGTTAGAACTCAATATTCGATATCACATAATATTTCATAATATTATTTACTTAAAAACACGATTTCAGAACGTGTATGTTACACTCGACATCCAATCTTCAATCATAATTAGAGGTTTTAAAATGTTAATTCCAAGTTTGTATCGTGATTACCATTAAAAAATGCTAACTTAAACCGCCAAAGGGTTGAGAAAAATCATTAGAGACAATACGAATCTCAAACTATTTGGTGAATGGTTGTATCGCAAGTAAATGCTTTAAATAATCCAAAATATGGTTCCTAATGTATCCATATCGGTGATATCTCTCAAAACTGTTGCAAAGCAATACAATTCCTTTCAACATATCTTTTATCCAATTATTCTTTAGTAAATTGTTGTATAACCAAACTCCACAATGTAGCATGAAAAAAAAAAGAATGACATCCACCACTTGTCTCCCACCCTATTTGTTAAACGAAAGGACACAAAAATCGAGCTCCTCCATGACCTTTCATTCTATCAAAGAAATAATGGGATCAAAACTTCCATATATCCTATCTAATCAAGGTTTCTCTCCATTAAAATTGCAAGGCAAAGTTGCCATCGAGATCCTTTATCTGTTTCGATGCTACCAATTCCATATATCACCATCTTTACTTTGTGTTGTGAACATGTAAGCTTGTGAAAATGGCGTGAAGCTTTAGAGGTATGGATTTGATCCAAAAAAGAATTAAAGAATCGAGACTTGTGATTTTTTCGATAGAGTTTGGATTTTATGCATCAACTGGACTTCTCTTTCTAAAGTTGTTTTGGTGTCTTTTGGTTCGAATGTGTTTGTTGTCGTTCCTTTGCATATTTAGGTTTGAGGAATTTTATTTTCTAATCGATTTCATTCTTCTATTACCGTCATTATATACTTACTAAAATAAATAGAAAATAAATTTTCCATTATATATGTTTACAAATAATTACTACACACTAAAAATATCTAAAAATAAATAAGCAGATAAACAATTAAATATATTTAACTTCATTTACTGAAGTACATTCGATTCCAATAAACTTGACATCATTTCTGGAAATTTTTAATAAAAGAATTGACATATTTATTTTAGATAAAACTAATATAAGATAGCAATTAACGCCAATTCCAAATATGTCGATTCACGGATTCATTATTCATACCTCACAGTATGGAATGGCATACACAAAACACGTTTTGACTTTTTAAGGTCAACAACTACAACTTTTAAGAAAAAATAAAAAAAATAGTAACCACAAAAACAACACTTGAGTATTTGTCACACTTATAAACGTTAATGTAATTATCTAACTATTCAGAAATACTAACAACAATCAGATTATCTTTTAAGTCGGTTATTGGTTCATTTAGAACTTAGAAAATTAAATATGGTAAATTGCAAGAAATAACAATTTACTTTACTCTTTTTAACAATAGTGACAATGTACTTTACTTTTATCAAATACAAACTTGTTCAAATCGAAGAACTAATCAGATCGCAAAAAACAGATCAACAGGTCAAAACTTATAATACCCAAACAACACTTTCTAAAATCTGATTTACGAATTAAATCAAATTCCAGGGTTCAAGTCTCCATGCAAGTGACATGATTAGCTTAAACATTAATCAGAAAGCAGAGCAGAAAACGTTAATCCCTATTTAATCATCTATATATTATCGTAGATGATGAAATATAACTACAATAGCTCAAATACTTACTCATGATAAATCAGGCAGAAGAATGTCGAACCTCTCCAAATCGGAAGGCAGAAAAACTGGATTGGGGGGCCGCTGTGTAAGGTGGTCGTCGGATCTGAAAGCCATCGGAGGGATGGAAGACAGGAAGAGTGGGCGGCAGCTACACGCTTACGTTTCTATGGGCCTACAGAACAAAACGTCAAAAGATCCGCTAAACAACAGACAAAGATAGAGAGAGTAAAGGCAAGCGTATCTTGGGGAATTTGTAGTCAAAGATGCCATCATTGGGGATTTTGTTTAATCGGCAATGCACACAAGATGTTTGATGAAATTCCTGACGTCTGGCTACTTATTAATCTATTGTGTTTGACTTTTTTATGGTTAAACTCTTGTTTCCTGATGCTCCAGTCACCATTCTTGCCTTTTATCTCTTTGTCATCAGTTGAGTGCTAGAAGAAGAAGAAAAGACATCAAGAATCTCTTCTTCCTGAAATTTATATTACACAATTGAAAACAGAAGATGAGGCGCCTCATCTAAGAGCCTGGAGTTATGTCTGTTTTGCCCTACACCAGGTATCATCATCATATATATCCCCTTAGAGTCCTCGTTTCTTGTTGTTGTTTCTTTTTTGATTGATGCGTTGAACCAAATATTGTTTTTTAGGTTTAACTATACGCTTGCATGTTGCTGATTTCATATAATCTGATCTCAATTATCTTCGATTTTGATTGTTTTGCGTTTGGATCATGTTACTTTTTTTGAACTTTCAGCAGTTTTCCCTTACTCTCAGTCTACATTTTTCTATATAGTTTAACACTACTTCATCTTAAATTACAACATTATTAATGTAAGTTTATAGTACCAAAAAATAAAAAACAGAAAATGGATGATATATAGTCATTTTACATGTCATATGTCCTGAAATGGAAAGCAACTACACATCATAGACAAAAAACTATAATAATGAAAGTTTATAGTTTCCTGATTTAATGACCTGAATCATTTGGTCAGATATAAGAAGTCCCTTTCAAGTTTCAACAACTACTTTTTAAAATTCCCTAAAAGTTAAACATCATTTTCATGGCTTTCATCATCACCAAAAGTTTCTTCATTCTTTAATCCATGATTTCCATTTATTTATACTATTACTTTCAACAACTGTCTCATTAATTAATTAATATATATCTCAACCATACTCAATGTTGGATGTTGTATCATTTTAACGTTTGAAACCACTAAACAACAGACAAATATAGAGAGTAAAGGGTATCTTAGGGAATTTGTAGTCAAAGATCCAATCATTCATGTTTTGAAGAAATTCCTGAATGAGAAGTATACGCGTATTTCCTTTTGTCTAAGTCCGGCTACTTATTTATTTGTTTTGTTTGACTTTTGAATGATTAAACTCTCTTTTCCACAAGAATCTCTTCTTCTTGAAATTCATATTACATACTTCTTTGAGTTCTCCTATTATTGCTAATCATCATTATTATGATTAATCATGGAAACAAGATAACATCAACTCGTACATGATCTGAAAAGTGTTTGATGGAAATGGAGGGAAGAGTTTATTCAGATTTGTATAGAAACTCAAGTGAAGATATGTTCATAAGAACATTAATGGAAAGCCCAGTTGGAATGCCATCACCAACCATGGAAATACTCGGTTTCAAGAATCTTTCTAGTAACTTCCGTGCAGATAGTGAGGAACTTTTCAAGAATTGGCTCACTAATGGAGAGGCAAGAATTTTTCTATTATTCTTTACACTTTTTAAATATATATATACATATTCTTTTCTAAATTGGTTTTATATCACTAGAATCAAGGCCACAATCCATCAAGTTTAGTTCATAATCGTTCTCGACAATTATCTAGAAGGTTGCTTGTTGATCAAGCTACTCAACAAAATGGAGTTTCATTTGAAAGAAAACCAAGTAATGAGAATTTGATCCCACAAAGTTCGTTGGTAGTTGGTGAATCGTCAAATGACGTAAATGCCCATCCTATTAGGAATGTGGGGGCTAGCAATTTATACTTGGCTAAGGTTTGTTAATATTGAGAATTAGGATTGTGTACAAATATTTGTTAAATGGATTCTATTGTTATCTTACTTTTTGATTTTTTTACAGGCATGGTTTCATAGTTCTCAACCAATGACAAGAAGTCGTTCTTCTGAGTTAAGGTATTAATTATTATGTAAACAAAACCCTTTTCACCATCAATATCACTTGATTATCTGTTGGTGATGTTGGTGATTTTAGTGCCGTCAAGTCATTTTAAGTAACTGAATTTTTATAAAAGTGTCAAAGATGACTTTGACTGTGATCAGTTCGAACTAATTCAGTTCGAACAGTTTGAACTAATTCGGTTCGAACTGACCAAATTTTGGTCGGTTTGAATTAATTCAGTTCGAACTAACCAAATTCTTTTGGTCTGTTAATTTGGTCAGTTCAAACTGACCAAATTAATTTTGGTCAGTTTGAACTAATTCAGTTCGAACTGACCGGATTCTTTTGGTCTGTTCGAACTGACCAAATTCTTTGGTCAGTTCGAAGTTAGAACCGACCAAAATTAGTTCGAACCGACCAAAGTCAGTTCGAACTGATCGGATTCTTTTGGTCTGTTCGAACTGACCAAATTCTTTTGGTCTGTTCGAACCGACCAAAATCAGTTCGAACCGACCAAAGTCAGTTCGTACCGACTATAACTATCAATAACCGTTTAATAATATTAATTGATTATCACAAACCATGTTTTCGTTTATTATTTTATACTATTTACATGTTACAGAAAGAGGTATGTTGCAATGCAAAACTCTCAAACAGCAATAGGTATGGAAGCAATGCATAATGCGTCGGGAAATCGAGTCAACCAATTGAAACAACAATTTGTCAACCAAAGTCAAATCAATGAGGCTTCAATGTATCATACAAATGGCTTCATGCCTCAATCACATTCATCTTCATCTAATATCAATGAATTACAATTTGGCACCATTGATAAAGTATCTTCAGTTGTAAGCATGTTAAAGGGCACATTAGAACGCAAGAAGCTCAGAAGTCAAACTGAGAAAGAAGCAATTGAAGATGATTCTTTAGGATATTATTCAACTATGAATCATGTAAATGAGATTCAAGATTATGAGGTACAAGAAACATTCCAAGATTTATCGAATGAAATGAAGGATTCTGGATTGTTTCAAATAGTTCAAGGAGGTATAGATGCTGACATGGACAATTTTGTGGCCCCCACGAATCATATCCAAATGAGTTTCGCATCTAGAGAAGCTTCTCAAAGTGAATCATCACCTGTAATATCAAATGGTTTTGATGCATGTGATGGTCAAAGCAATTCTGGTCAAACACCAAGTGCTTGTGAGAGCTCTAGGAAGCAAGTTGGAATTGCAAAAACATTAGGTTTATTCCCTTTTTTTTTTATCTTTAATTTTACTAATTATGTATAGAAATGTTAGATAACTTATTTATTATCTCATGTTTCATAGGTACACGAGAACAAATGTATGATAATCTTCAAGAGGACCACAAGGTATTTGACTATTGATAGTTTGTAAATGTTTAAAATGAAAATTATTTTACACCATTTCTTTTTGAGTAAATTACAGGAATAGTCCCTATGGTTTAGGGTAATTTACATGTTTGGTCCCTAACTTATTTTTTTAACTCGGAAGGTACCTACTGTTTGTTTTTGTTACGCACTTGGTCCCTGTCTTACCTAAAAAGATTATTTGCCCTTGATTTTTTAATTTATTTAAATAAACACACCCCCAACCCCACTCCCCTCACCTTATATTACCTACCCCACCATTTTTTTCCTATTTAAATGATAGTATTTTTAGGTAAAACAGGGACCAAGTGCGTAACAAAAACAAATAGTAGGGACCTCCCGAGTTAAAAAAATAAGTTAGGGACCAAGCGCGTAAATTACCCCAAACCATATGGACCATTCATGTAATTTACTCTTTCTTTTTTGTATTTCCAGCAGAAAAGAAGTTTGATTCGATTTGGATCAGTGACATCAGCTGCATCAGGTAATATTTATTATTAACTCATTTTTATATGCAACTTCTGTAATTTTTTTAAAATTTATGCAGTAGACAGCAGGGATCCTACAAAGAAACGCAGGGTGGAAAGGTCAAGAAAGTATGTAATTCTATTTTTCCATTTTCAGGAAGCATACTATCTTTTTTTTTTCTTGTATATATATAAAAATATTATTCTTCAAATTTGTTTGGTTAATTTATTTCGTTAATTTATTTGGTGATGATGATTTATATATGTAGAATGGCAGAAGCAAAAGGAAGAACTCAAACACCTGTGATTTCAACAGATATGCAATCTATTCTGAAGCGATGTGAAAATCTAGAGAAGGAAGTGCGTTCACTCAAACTTAATCTGGCTTTCATGAATAGGTAAGAGTGATTCTTCTCAGTTAACATTAAAATCACAACTTTCTTTTGAACATTGATTTCTTGAAAAAAGTATGCATATATGTGGATGGAATATTACTTGTTGTCATGTAACATTGATGAGTATGTGTTTCAGGAAGGATTCTGAACAAACAAAGCAGATTGAAGAGCTTCAGAAGCAGCATGAGGAGATGAAAGATGAAAAGGAACGCCTTTTAGAAGAGATTGAGAGGATATTGTCTGAACCAGATAAGATGTGATCATTCAAATCTGACATTGATGAACCACAAGTTCTTTTTTTTTTTTTTATATTCATTGGTTTGTTTGTGAATCATGATTATGCACATTATTACTATAAGGACATTGCTATGATATCTAAATTTTTAAATATGTATTATTTCTACAATGGCATACTGAACAACACACAAGTATTATTAGTGTATTAGTTTATATTATCGTATTGACTGTATATAGGCCCATGTATGTTTGTATGTATTCGTTGTATTGTACCTCTGACCCATGAGGTGTACATTGTGTATATATATTCTTGCATTTAATGAGAATCTGATTTATGTGAAAATACTACCTGTAATATCATCTCAGAGTAGTAAACTATGTACTCAAATCTATATATAACTTTCCAATCATCTACCAAATCGCATAATCAACCGGATCCACCTAAACCTTATAAATTTCCTCTAGACAGAAGGAGGTGAAGAGAAGCCACCGGAGGTGAAAAGCTAGGCTTAGTAGGGCTCGAACTATATATATATATATATATATATATATATATATATATATATATATATATATATATATATATATATATATATATATATATATCATCGGCAAAACTGATGCATGGGAAAAATTTAAATCACAAGTCAAGTTATGGATTTACGGGAGTAAGTCCCTTGTGCAGATGATTCTCAAGAAGGGTATTGATATTGTCAAATTAGTCATACACTAGGTGTAAAACTCGTGTGTTGCATGGATTGATTAATTAAAAAAAGATTAAATATCAAAGTTTAAATAATAATTATTTTTTAAAATAAAAAATTTAAAATAAGGAATGAAAAAACGTACTAATTATAATTTACTATCATATATATTATATATAATACTTTACATATATAAGTATAAGTATTATGTGGTTTTTTAATTTTAATTTTTTTTAAAATAGAACAAAAATTAACATGTGGATTGTATTTAATTTAAAAATATCATAAAATAATAAGTGTCAAAACCCATGAGAAAATAAGAAATTGACATATGACAAAATGGATTTCATTTATTATAGTAGATTCATATATGACTTATCATATTTACCCAATCTAATTTCTAAATATCAAGTTTTCGAAATATCAAATTTACACAAATAAATAATTTTAACATTTTTTAAACACTTTATAATCATTTTAATAATTTTCAAATTGTTATAATTATAAAAACAATCAAAATGAGAATATTATCCCTAATCTTATGCTATTGGAATCATCTTCTAATATAGTTAAGAGTTTTCAAAACATAGAACTTCTCGGCCATCTCGTATCCTCATCCACTGGTCGCCGCCCACCAGCTCCGACGATGTTCACTCTGGTTGTCATCCACCATCTCCGGGATCGCTTGTTGTGCACACCTACAACACAACCACAATCAATCCATGTTGGGTTAATCGGATTTATGAGTGCATGAGTATTTTTGTAAAACCCTTTTTATTTTAAGTATTTGATTTAGATTAGGAAGTTGTCTGCTTGCTTAACAAGTATAACATATTGGTTTAGTTTACTGCTTTCATTAATATAAATAAGGACATGTATTCATTAGTTTAGAAAGAGATTTATAGAAATAAAATCATTTGTCACAGTTTTTCCTGTTGCTCCTTTGTTTTGGTCTTGGGCATGAAGGTATTACCGGTTTAATACCTTACACTTGGTATCAGAGCCTAGGGCTCGTGAAGGCGTAGGGAGGCCAGTTTGAGAGTCGGTTTCAAAAAAAAATGTAGCCTTTTGTTGCGGGACAGACGCAGCGGGAACTAGGTTCGGTTTAAGGGGGTGTGGATTGTTTTTGAGCGAGAGTTGAAGCATCTCAACAGCAGCCCCAATTTTTCTTGATCGGGATTGTTCTAAGGTAGAGAGAGACTAACCAGAGGTGTGAAATAAACGGGCGGGAAGACGTCAAAGCGGGTGACTTTGATTCGGTTCGTTTTGCGGGCGACGGAAGACGGTAATGGTGGTCGTAACCTTGTCTTATTGTTCGGTGGAAAGTGCTCTCAAAACAAGCTTGATTAAAGAGGTCGAGGTGGTGAAAAGAGATAATTGGATGTTGATCGGTTGAAATCAGAAGGCAGAAAAAAATGAAAAGGTTGTGTCTACATTAATCAGACAATAATGATTAGCGAGGAAGAAAGTTTGACTTTTTTTCGTGATAAGGGGATACCGACGTAGGTGCGTGAAAAGCGGGCATGAAGGATCCGTTAAAGCAGGTAGCTTTGGACTCAGTTCGTTTGGCGGGTTGAAAGAAAACGGTGAAGCGGGTGGCTTTGTTTTCTTAATTAGTCGGCGGAGATGCCTCTTTAAAGAAGGGTAATCAAAATAAAGGAAGAGATTGGAGAAACAACACAGTGTGAACATTGTGGAAGTTCAAATTGGATGGCTTTGGATCTGGCCGGGGAGAGGTCGTGAATCCGGGGAAAATCTAAATGGTAATGAACGTATCCAACAGGATGTCATGTCACATGTTACATGTGTTGTGAACAATCAAAAGGGTATGGAGGACATTGGACGTGACCGAGATGGAGGTCGGGTGTCCGGGAAAAGTCGGGATGGTTCGGGAAGATGATGATTCAACACTGTTGTGAACGAGAGGTATGACCAATCCGATTAAGGGGTGATCGTTGGGTTAATCGGATTAATGGGTGCATGGGTATTTTTGGAAAACCCTTTTTATTTGAAGTATTTGATTTAGATTTGGAAGTTGTTTGCTTGCTTAACAAGTATTACGTATTGGTTTAGGTTACTGCTTTCATTAGTATAAATATTCGTTAGTTTTGAAAGAGATTTATAGCAATAAAATCATTCGTCACAGTTTTTCCTATTGCTCATTTGTTTTGGTCTTGGGCATCAAGGTATTACCGGTTTAATACCATACAATCCATAGCGAGATATCACAAACAAAGTTGTTACTGCCCATGCCTAAATACCCTCTTCTTCTAGATTTTTTTGTTTCCCAAAATCAAACCACGTTACTGTTGCATTGGAATTTGTTGCTGCCCACGATCAAATACTCACGGTAATACCCTTGATTTTGTGATGTTAATACACTTGATTCTGCTTATGTGATGTTAATACCACGTTAATGCTTCTATGATGTTAATATCAGATTAATGCACTTCTTCTTTATATGATATTAGTACCACATGTCCACATTAATGCTTATATGATGTTAATACCACGTTAATTCTTATGTGGCGTTAATACCACTTAATGCGTACTTCATTGACCACGTTACTAGAAGGGTGATAACCCACAATTTGTGGCTTTTTTTTTTTTTTTTTTTTTTTTTTTTTTTGTAATTGATTTACACTTTATGCTTTCGAATATGTTCATTTTTTTCTAGAATTTAGGTAGTTTTGGCTATTATCCTTTTTATTTTGTTTTGTGGTGTCACTCTATGAAATTCGTAAGCTTGAATAGGAGTCGTATTGATGCTTTTCTGCCTATCTTGAATAGGAGTTGTATTGATGTTGGTTAGAGGGTGTCTGAATAGATATGTTCAAAGGAAAACAAAATTAGATTTTGATTAAGATTGATTCATTATGGTGTTGGTTATTTTCATAACCAAAACATAAACGCGGAAGCATAAACTTTGGATCTTTAATCTCAAATCTGATTAAAAGAAAACTTGAACATAAAAGAATGATTACATACCTGATTTCATTATGATCTTCGAATTTGAAGAATTAGGGTTGGGTTTTCCAGTTGATCTCAAGAGCTCTCTCTAAAATCCCTCAGCAAACCTTAAACGAATTTTATGTGTATTTTCGTGTGTGTTGATTTGCTCATCATCACATGTATTTATAGATGGATATAAACCCTAATGTGAGAGATGGAAGGAATCTTAAGGATCTTGAGTCAAACCGGGAACTCAACCCACAAGGTAAGTAAATATTGTATAAATCGGTCCATCAACAATTTATATTCTTACCATAATAACTGGATTTAATGATAACATTACCTATTTATATGATGTGGTCCCATAATTATCTAACAATCTCCCATGGACCACAAATATACAAATGTATGTATAACTGTATAAGCGCTTTAATGAATGTTATCATAATATTGATATCCTTAAACAATCTCGTCCACTAATCATAATAGTATAGGATCAAAGCGGTCTTCGTTACAATTTACGTAACTAAACCTATCAATGGTCACATATACATATATAACTAACGACATAGATTAAATATGATGTGTGGTTTTAAAATCTAAATAGATTTCCAACGAGTTCCTCTTTAACTTGAAGTGAGATCAAACTTCAAATAAGTGCAACTAATAATGGAGTTAACCAAATTCCTAATTTTGTACAAAAAAACATAATTGTTGTTAAACAACACATAAAGCACCATAAAACTCCCATTAAAACTAAATATCACACTAACGTGTGTAGTATGCTCATGAAAGACCTTGGGATGTAATCCCTTTATGAGCGGATCCGCTTTTATGGAGTTTGTTCATATGTGCTATATATATTTCCATTTTGCACTATTGTATTAACAGAAGGAAACTTGATGTCAATATACTTTGACTTAATAGAACTTCTATTATTCGAATATAACATTGCTGACTTATTATCACAACTTTAGTGGTCTTTCAATACCAATAATGTGTAGCCCCGTGACAAATTTCCGCAACCATATTCCATGCTATAAATTATGCTGCCATTATGGAAGAAGCTACCAAAGTCTATTCCATGAAATGACTCGTCATGATAAAATGTAAAAGTATCCTGATATGGATCAGTAACCATTTTGGCATCTAATAAATTATATTCTTAATAAAAATGATCTCCAAAACATCTGAATTTCCTATAGTTGCTTTCTTATGTTATATATAGATATATCAAAATCCATTTGGTTGCTTTCTTATGATCCAAACTTGAGTTGCGTAGATATCAGAAAGATAAATTTACTCCCACTTAATTTGTGATACACAAAATCATCTACTGTATTTACCGCAAAACCAAAAGAGATAAAATTTGATGAAAAATGTGGTACCACACATAGGATATCCAAAGTTGAGTTTGTTGAGTTTGTGTATTCTGAATAGGAGATTGAATAACATTGTCGATCACTGATTCATAATCTGCATACTATCGAAAACAATAATAGGAATCAAGATTGATTCCTCCTTAAGGACA